TGATACCAAGTCAGCTAGATATTTTATTGTGAAAAGTTGAGTTTTCTAAAATATTTTGTGAAATATTTCTTCTATCAAAAATCTATGTATTTATTGCATAGAGCATTAAAAGATACATATTATTTGAAAATTTCATCTTCATATCTTATACAGAGCCAAAGATATCTTAATCACAAGCCTAATAGATGTCCGTATTTGAGATTTGAGAAAAGTGCATTTGAAGTTTTGAGATGTACTGAATAACTAATTTTTCTTATCTTTTGCAACTTGACTGAATTTTGGTTGTGTATCACACATAATGTACCCATAGATACAACCAAAAATGTTAAAAGAAGTCAATAATAATGTTTAGATGCATCATAAAGGTAACTGGGGGTTCAAACTGGTTGAAATGTCCATGTTCATTACTCGACAGGTCCGTCGACTTTCTAGGTCTCTTTTTCTTTCCTTCCTTATATCCTCTTTTCCTTTTTAGACTTGCATCAACCACCTTTTTAGAAATGTTTTCAGGCTCTGCAGAAAGACCAAAAGCCCTTGATAAATAGCTATTCCTAGCTACATCAAGTCTTCGCTTCTTTATTGCTTGAAATTTTTGTCTCTGATCTTTGTATTTCTGTGATGTTTTTAAGGTGGCAGCTTGTAATTTTTGTCTCCGATCTTTGTATTTCTGTGAAACCTTCCTTGCAGCATCTTTCAGCCTTCTATTGTCAACAGTTTTCAAATAATTTAAAGTTTGTTTGGCTACATTTAAGTTGTAATGCCTTCAAAACATCTGCAATTGATGATGGCCCTATATTGAAATTTCCAACAGAATGGCAAACAGTGATTGTAACTTTTCGTTTTCCACTAAATCACTGATCTCTAACCACTAAACCTGACAGGTTTTTGGACATCATGCCCATACCATACCATGCAAGGACTCATTCCAGTGGATGGTTTATCAAATTCAATCATTGTATGCTCTTCTCTTTCAATGATCTCTATAAGCCTAGCAGCTGCTTCATTCATAATGTTTTCACATACATTTACTGCCACTTCCTCAAGATCTTTTAACTGTTTGCTGTAAGGTGACTTTGAGACAGTGTTTGGAAGACTCATAAGCCAAAAGATCTCTCCAACCCAGCACATTCAGTTTCTAGTAAAGCAACAACTGATCTACAGTTTATTTAATATGTGGTCTGTCCCCCTTTCTTGTCTCCCCTCTTAGATCCACTGAGCTTTTCACTGGTCTCAAGTGGTGAACTTGTATGACAATGGCTACATACAAGATAATATTTCTCTGCAAGGCCAAACTTATTGCTAAACTAGAGGCCAAACTAAGCAGCAGGCTTAACTGTGCCTTTGGATTCCTACATGTACGACAAACAGCAATTTTGTTGATTGCATTCATCATGAGTTTCTTATCTATAAGGCTGTAGCCATCGTCAGCACTGCCAATATTGCCAGCAGCAGCATCCTTCGTTTTTTTTATCCGGAAATTGGTCTTTATATGGGACTAAGGTTTTCTGAACCAAAGAAAGAGTTCGTAAGTTTATAAAGTGAAGCACTGTGTTCCTCTGATTCTTTGCTTTGATCCGTTGTTGCTTGTGAAGACGAGGTAGGCAGTACATCTTCATCACCTTTTCGCTTTGGCCTAAGTAATCCAAATCCTTGTCATTGCTTCGAATACATAGTTTTTTCTACTTCCAGCAGATCTTTTTCTTTTCTTCGCTTTACCGACCTAAATTTTCGATTAAAAACTCTCTTTTCAGGGCGTTCATTGTCGGATAAGTTCGCTTCATAAACAGAAGGACTCTTCGAACAACTTTCGTCGGCCAGGCCAAACAGAAACTATGCTTCATTCGTTCCCTGTGCTTTTTAAAGTGGTATAAATGCATTTTGGGATAGGGTAGAAGACCATAGATTACGTAATATAATTTTTTTTCAAAAACGGGTCCCATGGGTGTCAACAGACCCCCTAGCAACCGATAGAAACTTGGTTGCTAAGGAGAGATTATCAACCCAGGGGATAAATAAATCAAATTTTCGCAAAAACTACAACAGTTACGGGAAAACTTCCTTCAAAATCAAATTTTGCAGTAATTTTCCTGATCATATCCAAGGAAAAAGGAATTTTGACAAAATTTTCATAACTGACCATGTTCATGGTAGACTGCTACCTTAACAATTAATCTTAATTTTGCTCAACTTGAAAGTGCAACTAAACTTTTATGGAAACGTACTTTAGACAGGAGGTCAATTGATGATTGTAATCATTTTTAGTTTTATTCGAGGACTAGTTGCCTTTTGAAGATTTTCAAGTTTTTGAAAAAACTAACTTGGGACAGAGGGCGCGCCGGGAAACTCCCCGGTGTCCCGGTGGGCCAGTCCGCTTCTGGTGCTGGCTTGATGCTGGTTGGATTGGCTCAATGTGCATTACACATCAGATTTACACGCCGAAGGCCAGAGATTACTGTTTGGTGGGAAGTGGGGCCAAAAGCCTCAAATGAAGCATAGCAAATAAACACAAAAAATGTTTAACACAAAATTTGTTAAGTTTACGACGACTTTTTTTGTTCAAGGTCGAGTCAAAAGATCGTTGTTTTGCCCCCACACTGCAATTTTTAAGTTGGGACGTTAATCTTTGTAAGACTCTTCTTAGGTCGACTTGAAGTGCTTGAAGTCAGAAATGATGATTGTTGTTGTAGTTATTAGAGAACGCCACAAACTTTGGCGGCAAGAAAAATTTTAGATTGAACTAGTCTAAGAATGATGACCAGAAACTGCATCTAAAGTTGATTTAAACGGGAGAAAGTTATATATTATATTAATACAAGACAATATTTTTGAGGCAAAAGAATTCGCTGGGCGGGATTAAATCTCGTAGCGGGCCTCGGTTGGCCCGCAAGCCTCAGAATGGCTGCCACCAATCAGCGCTGCTTCCTTTTATACGAATGATTTTCAATCGGCAAGAACAACGGCCAAGAACGCCGAGATTTATGCAGCGTACAGCCTCATATTTTGTTCAAGATAGTCTCTCTTTGAGGTCAATAAAAACAATTTATGGAGGAGGAGGTCGAATTTTATATCTTCGAATTTGTCAAAATTGGATCATAGAATTGGAATCTTCATGTTGAAATTAGTCTGTGCCGAAATTTCATGTTATTTGGGCCGTCAGGCAGCGAATTCTCCTATTTTCAAAGTTTAGCTTTTCCTACATACTTCAATGGAATGTATCTATGCATCTTTATATCAAATTTTTCACTACAGCACCAAATTCCCGTCAAATCTAAAGAAATATCTAAATATTCAAAACAAAGTAAGAGGCCTTTCACATGAGAATTTTCAGGCCGGTTTGAATCTTACGTCGGCCTGAGTTCAATTTGGCGTGTGGTCAAATCCCGTTGAGTGTTCACATGAGTTGGACGAATTGAAATTCGGGCCGCCCTGAGATTCGGTTTTTCAAACCGGTTTGAAGTTTCAAGCCGGCGTGAAAAGTTCATGTGAACAAGATTTTTTAAAATTGGCGGGAACTTAACATGTAAATCATTTCTCTGTGCGTCCAGTGTTTTCCAATCTCGTTGTCTTTACCTTTTTTAATCTAAATTGCTTGAGAAACTTCTTGTTACAGCACCTGATTCTTGCATGTGTGAAAACGCAGTATTCATCAATTCATTCCAACCGATTTGAAAAATCAATGTGAACGCGAAGGAAATTAGCTCACCCGAACTGAACTCAGGCCGGCGTGAGTTTCAAATAGGCCTGGGATTTCTCATGTGAAGGGCCTCTAACTCGTGACCTAATGATCCAAACAGCATGAAGTTCTCAGTATAAACTAATTTCAAAACGATGATTTCAAATTTTTGAGAAGGGTCTGTAGATAGTGAGATACAGAATCGATGATATCGACTCGGAACGGTGAAGGGAGACGGAGTGTTTCGAACTTCATCAAAACAACAAATACGATTGTATCTCTCAGAATTATTGAATGTTTGTGTTACTGCTTTGTAACAATCCTCTCTTTGGACCACAAATCTACCAACAGCAAAAGTAGGCTGCACATAGGTTTAGCTGTATGCTGTCCTCGTAGGGTAGGCCAATTTTACAATCGTTTGTTGGTAAGGAAGGTTTGCTATTTGTATTTTGTTATATAGTAAATTTAGAAAGGCTTAAAAATTCCCTTTCAGTTCGCCTAGTGTATTCAAGTATATTGGCCTGAGCAAAATTTACTAAGCAAAAAGCTGTCGCACGAAAAGTTTTTGTCGAAAAATTGTAAGAAGGGCAAAAAGACTAATAGCAAATGCCAAGTATAAGGACGGATGGACTTGCAAATGGCTCACTGTAAAGTTCTTGATCTCCTTTGACCAAGGAGTCATGACATATAGAATCTTGCATGATCTCTGTCCCGAAAATCTTCATCATAAATTAACTGAAAGATCCATGATTTCAGATTATAGAACCAGAAACCGTGGAGACCTGCAAATTCCCAAAGTTAGGTTAGAGTATGCAAAGCGAGGTTTCTATTTCTCTGGTGTCAAAAACTTGATTGATGTCCCTAACAACATTCGAAGAAAAGAATCCATCGCTCGTTTTGAAACAGGTATTAGAGAGTATCTTTCGAACCTTCCACAGGACCCAAACACGACCCCTTGGTAGAGCAAAAATATGCAAATAGTTCTTTTTTAATAGTTCTTTTTTTGTAAATAGTTATTTTTTGCTGAAAGGTATCTCGTGTACATAAATAAATATTGATTGATTATATACTGAGCATGCGCTGTTAGTGCAACTGTTGTCGCAGGATGGGTCGGATTCAGAGATGAAGCTATGGAGTGTCATGGTGGGCAGCTGCCCTCCAAGACTTTGCAATGACATCCTGTCGGAAGCCAAATATAAGAAAAAATAAAAACTGTTGGCCCTTTGAAACTGTCAGTTGTGGAATTTACCTTTTTAAAAGAACCAGAAAAGAGAAATTTCTGCTGCAGTGGAAAGCTTAAACGTTAATCGGAAAAGAACTTCACAGGTTTCGCGCGGCAGCTTTTCGCTCAGTGGAAAGTAAGCTTTAACCGCCATTATGATTATGTGCAGTTATGTGCTCACTATCTTCAATGCTGCCTTTGGGAAAAGGGCTTGGAATTCATTTCACAAAGTATTAATAGCCGCATGTAATGCCCTCCGTGAATATTTTCGACATTCTCTGTCAGCATGTTGCATGAAAGTGTCATGTGTAGCAGCTATTGTGAGCACTTTGTTTATCGTTTACACCGACTAAAAGGATATCATAGTACACTAAGTTAGCAAAACCAAGTAACCAAAACAAGGTTCCGTCGACACGGTGGTGGATATTTTTTAAAACGCCATTATTTTTATCTGTTTTAAAAAAGTCTTTGTCTACATTATGAGCGTCCACACCGAAAGTAAGGGAAAAAGAAACTTTTTTTACGCAAAGATAAACCTTTATTAAGTTTAAAGAATATCTTAGAATATCCAATAAATTGTTGGTTCTTTGAAATTTTTCCTCCTTCTATACAAGCCGTTCTGGTCCTATGAACCCTACCGACGATCCTGCGACGCTGCGCAATCCTTGGGGAAGTTGTTGTAGCCTCGGTTCCAGCTTTTCAGCCAACGAACACGGCGGGAATGAACACCATGTTGGATTGCACGACTCGGCCATGGACGAAGGTTAAGATTGCAGTTTCATTCCCTTGTTCTTATCAACCAATCTTGGACACATCTATTTACAATCGGCTTAAACGCAAGCTGCTATAAAGTACGAAGAATGCTGTTCTGGGAGGAATTCAAAAGAGGGCGGTTGCAACACGAACTGGCATCATCATCTCAGCAATCTCGTTGCGGTATGTTGCCAACTTCTTTTCTCACCTTATTATTTTTGGCAAATTTGCATTTGTGCAAATTATGTTATTTTTAATGCCAGTGGTTGATTATGAAAAGGGAACCCCTAAATGCAACCTGCAAGCTGGCATTCGTGGTTAAGGTTGCCAGGCGGGCGGCGAGGTTCAAACCAGCTCACTTAGCAGTGCAAAGCAGCATCACATTTCGGCTCTTTCATCAGTTCCGTAATTACTGCATTGAGAGGGAAAATTGGAAGAGCAATTTAGGAGGGCCGTTTCTTTACATTAAATGTGTGCTTATACTGCAGCATGCACTGGTCCTAAACTTGATGTTGCTGGAAATGGTTGACATAGAATGTCCAATGTAAGAAAATGAGCTACCACATGTTACAACCTACCTTGCAGCTTAAAAGTCAGCAGTTACATTAATGTTTTAAGTTACTAAGAAAATTTCTTTTACCAATTTTGTATATATTTAGCTGTAATAACTAAATTTTGTCATTGGCTAGCAGTTTGATTCTTGAAAGACAACATATTCACTGAGGTTACACTTTTACCCCTGCAAAAACCCAAGCATGGTTCACAGGCTAACCATAGTTTGAAATGGTCCTACCATGGTTGAACCATGATTCTGACAAGTTCTGACCATGGCTAATGACAATGGTTGATCAATGAATAAGATTTTGCCTGCAAAGAACTTAACTTGTTTTTTCTTTGAGAATGTAAATTCTGGACTGTGTAAGAAGATACCCTGAATAGAAAGAAAAGAAAAAAGAACAATTGTCTGTATTTGCTATCATTTTACCATGGACCTCAAAACCTGATCATTGCTGTCCCATTGCTGAACCATGGTCAATTTCTCAACTGACATTTTCTAAAATGGCAAATCACTTTTACATTGAATAGTTTTGATTTCACCAATTTTCTTTTGGAGACACATTTCCTTGTCCCTTAAGTCCTAAAACATTAATTTTTTTATCAATTTGAAATGTTTTATGAGTATTTTGTCTGACAATTGCTGACGCATTGCTGAACCATGGTTAATTTCTCAACTGACTTTTCATAAAATGGCAAATAAATTTTACATTGAATAGTTTTGATTTCACCAACTTTCTTTTGGAGACACATTCCCTTGTCCCTTAAATCCTAAAACATTAAATTTTTTATCAATTTGAAATGTTTTATGAGTATTTTGCCTGACAATTGCTGACGCATTGCTGAACCATGGTTAATTTCTCAACTGACATTTTCTAAAATGGCAAATTACTTTTACATTTAATAGTTTGTTTCACTATTTTTGTGTGGTTTGGTTTCACTATTTTTTTGTGGATTTATTTTACTGTTTTTTGGCCATAAAGCATTTATTTCTCTGAATTTGAAATGGTCAATGAGAGTATGGACCAACTATTGCTGACCCACTGCTAAACCGTGGTCCATTTTTTAACTGACAGGTTCCTCATCCTGCTTTCACCAAAAATTCTGGCTGCCTTTGAATATCATTAAATTTTAAATTTTAATGGTTTTAGAAATATATTGAAACTATATTTTCACATGATATATATATTTATATAATCAAAGATATATACTTAAGATTTTCATCAGATTTGCAAGAATATCAATCTTTGAAAAATATCTGATGAAAGCAACTGACAAGGTACCAGGGTCATAAGAGTGGATTCTTGGGTTTTTTCTCAGATAACTTTTTATTTCTATAACATGGTACAAACAAGCATATCAATACAAGATTGTCAGCAAATTGGAATATTCTATTGAAGTGCTGCTGTACAATTGCTCTAACAGTTCTTTGTGGTATCTTATGGATGCATTACCATTGAAGCCCGGTTTTAAATATTTCAGAATAAAAAAGTCTTGCCAGTTTCATTCTTATCCAACAAAACAAACTAATTATCTCAAATAAAAGGAAATCAGGCCTCTCGGTCTCTGGCATGTGATTGCGTGTCATGCACCTGTAGTGGTGCCAGGGCACACATGGATGTGATGCACAACTAGCAATATTGTCCACCTCATCCATTTGCATTTACAATTACTATTTTATCTGCAACATTGTCTTTTTGCTCTGTGGAATCATTTTTAAAGTACAGCCTTCACCACCTAGGCAATCCTTTGACACTATATAAATTATAAACACTGGAAAAATGTTTGTGTTGGTTGTGTGTGATAAAGGATTCACTTTCAATCAGTGTTACCCCATGAGCCACACACCTACTAAAATCGGTGCGGAGAGGCCTGTGATCCTTGTTTTTCTTTCCAGTGTACCTATTAGAGGCCACTTGGTGTTCAGAATGTACATTGAGGCTTTTAGGCTGTTTCGAGTAAACAAATTTTTTGAAAAATTTCAAATTTTGTGAAATTTTTAGCAGGTCACTAAGTCACTGAGTTTCTTATTTTGTAAATATGTGCATAATATTCACTGAAACTACCGAAAATGGTGTTCCGAACATAAATTAAGGCTTTTGACGTTATTTCTAGAAATATTTTTTTTCAAAGTTCACATATTTTGAGATTTTTTCAAGTTTCAGTGTGAAACATGCTATAAATACTCTTTCCTACCATTTTCAGATACCACTTGGAGGCTCAACCAAATGTCTAGAAATGATTTCAGAAAGGTAAAATTTTAAGCTTTATTTTGTTTCAAGTAAAAAATTTTTTTGAAAAATTTAAATATTTTTAACTTTTTGCAGATCCGGGGGACATGAGTTTTTTCAAAAATCACTAACTCCTTATTTTAAAAAAAATCAGCATAAATTTCACGGAAACAACCCAAATGGCGTTGAGAACGTATCTTGAGGCTTTTTAGGTTGTTTCGAGTAAAAAAAAATTTTTTCAAAAATTTCAATCTTATTGAAACTTTTTTACAGGTCTGGGGTCATGACTTTTTAAAAATCACTAACTCCTTATTTTAAAAAAATCAGCATACATTGCACCAAAACAACCCGAAATTGCGTTCAGAATGTATTTTGCGGCTTTTTAGGTTGTTTCGAGTAAAAAAAATTTTTTGAAAAATTTCAAGATTCTTCAATTTTTTGCAGGTCCGGGGTCATGAGTTTTTTCAAAAATCACCAACTCCATATTTTCAAAAAATCAGCATAAATTTCACGGAAACGACCCAAATTGCGTTGAGAACGTATCTTGAGGCTTTTTAGGTTGTTTCCAGCAAAAATATTTTTGTCAAAAATTTCAAGATTTCTCAACTTTTTTGCAGGTCTGGGGTCATGAATTTTTTCAAAAATCACCAACTTCTTTTTTTCAAAAAACCAGAATAAATTTCATTAAAACAATCCGAAATGGCTTTCAGAACGTAACTTCAGGCTTTTTAGGTTGTTTCCAGCAAAAATATTTTTTTCAAAAATTTCAAGATTTCTCATCTTTTTTGCAGGTCCGGGGTAATGAATTTTTTCAAAAATCACAAAGTCCTTATTTTCCTAAAATCAGCATCAATTTCACCGAAAAGACCCGAAATGGCATTCAGAACATATCTTGCGGCTCTTTAGGTTGTTTCGAGTAAAAAAATTTTTTGAAAAATTTCAAGATTTTTTTGCAGGTCCGGGGTCATGAGTTTTTTCAAAAATCACCAACTCCTTATTTTCAAAAAATCAGCATAAATTTCACGGAAACAACCCAAATGGCGTTGAGAACGTATCTTGAGGCTTTTTAGGTTGTTTCGAGTAAAAAAAATTTTTTCAAAAATTTCAATTTTATTTAAACTTTTTTGCAGGTCTGGGGTCATGACTTTTTTCAAAAATCACTAACTCCTTATTTTAAAAAAATCAGCATAAATTGCACCAAAACAACCCGAAATTGCGTTCAAAATGTATTTTGCGGCTTTTTAGGTTGTTTTGAGTAAAAAAAATTTTTTCAAAAATTTCAAGATTTCTCAACTTTTTTGCAGGTCTGGGGTCATGAATTTTTTCAAAAATCACCAACTTCTTTTTTTCAAAAAATCAGAATAAATTTCATTGAAACAATCCGAAATGGCTTTCAGAACGTAACTTCAGGCTTTTTAGGTTGTTTCCAGCAAAAATATTTTTTTCAAAAATTTCAAGATTTCTCATCTTTTTTGCAGGTCCAGGGTAATGAATTTTTTCAAAAATCACAAAGTCCTTATTTTCAAAAAATCAGCATAAATTTCACCGAAAAGGCCCGAAATGGCGTTGAGAACGTATCTTGCGGCTTTTTAGGTTGTTTCGAATTAAAAAAAATTTGTGAAAAATTTTAAAATTTTTCATCCTTTTTGCAGGTCCGGGGTCATGAATCTTTTCAAAAATCACCAACTCCTTATTTTCAAAAAATCAGCATAAATTTCACCGAAACGACCCAAAATGGCGTTCAGAACGTATCTTGAGGCTTTTGAGGTTGTTTCGAGTAAAAAAAATTTTTTGAAAAATTTCAAGGTTTTTCAACTTTTTTGCAGGTCCGGGGTCATGACTTTTTTCAAAAATCACAAAATCCTTATTTTAAAAAAATCAGCATAAATTTCACCGAAAAGGCCCGAAATGGCGTTCAGAACGTATCTTGAGGCTTTTTATGTTGTTTCGAGTAAAAAAAATTTTTTAAAATATTTCAAAATTTTTCATCCTTTTTGCAGGTCTGGGGTCATGAATCTTTTCAAAAATCACCTACTCCTTATTTTCAAAAAATCAGCATAAATTTCACCGAAACGACCCGAAATGGCGTTCAGAACGTATCTTGAGGCTTTTTATGTTGTTTAGAGTAAAAACAATTTTTTGAAAAATTTCAAGATTTTTCAACTTTTTTGCAGGTCCGGGGTCATGACTTTTTTCAAAAATCACCTACTCCTTATTTTCAAAAAATCAGCATAAATTTCACCGAAACGACCCGAAATGGCGTTCAGAACGTATCTTGAGGCTTTTTATGTTGTTTAGAGTAAAAACAATTTTTTGAAAAATTTCAAGATTTTTCAACTTTTTTGCAGGTCGGGGGTCATGACTTTTTTTCAAAAATCAGAAAGTCCTTATTTTCCTAAAATCAGCATAAATTTCACCGTAAAGGCCCGAAATGGCGTTCAGAACGTATCTTGCGGCTTTTTAGGTTGTTTCGAGTAAAAAAAATTTTTGAAAAATTTCAAGATTTTTCAACTTTTTTGCAGGTCCGGGGTCATGACTTTTTTCAAAAATCACCTACTCCTTATTTTCAAAAAATCAGCATAAATTTCACCGAAACGACCCGAAATGGCGTTCAGAACGTATCTTGAGGCTTTTTATGTTGTTTAGAGTAAAAACAATTTTTTGAAAAATTTCAAGATTTTTCAACTTTTTTGCAGGTCCGGGGTCATGACTTTTTTCAAAAATCACCTACTCCTTATTTTCAAAAAATCAGCATAAATTTCACCGAAACGACCCGAAATGGCGTTCAGAACGTATCTTGAGGCTTTTTATGTTGTTTAGAGTAAAAACAATTTTTTGAAAAATTTCAAGATTTTTCAACTTTTTTGCAGCTCGGGGGTCATGACTTTTTTTCAAAAATCAGAAAGTCCTTATTTTCCTAAAATCAGCATAAATTTCACCGTAAAGGCCCGAAATGGCGTTCAGAACGTATCTTGCGGCTTTTTAGGTTGTTTCGAGTAAAAAAAATTTTTGAAAAATTTAAAGATTTTTCAACTTTTTTGCAGGTCGGGGGTCATGACTTTTTTTCAAAAATCACCTACTCCTTATTTTCAAAAAATCAGCATAAATTTCACCGAAACGACCTGAAATGGCGTTCAGAACGTATCTTGAGGCTTTTTATGTTGTTTAGAGTAAAAACAATTTTTTGAAAAATTTCAAGATTTTTCAACTTTTTTGCAGGTCCGGGGTCATGAGTTTTTTCAAAAATCACCAACTCCTTATTTTCCTAAAATCAGCATCAATTTCACCGAAAAGACCCGAAATGGCATTCAGAACGTATCTTGCGGCTCTTTAGGTTGTTTCGAGTAAAAAAATTTTTTGAAAAATTTCAAGATTTTTTTGCAGGTCCGGGGTCATGAGTTTTTTCAAAAATCACCAACTCCTTATTTTCAAAAAATCAGCATAAATTTCACGGAAACAACCCAAATGGCGTTGAGAACGTATCTTGAGGCTTTTTAGGTTGTTTCGAGTAAAAAAAAATTTTTCAAAAATTTCAATTTTATTTAAACTTTTTTGCAGGTCTGGGGTCATGACTTTTTTCAAAAATCACTAACTCCTTATTTTAAAAAAATCAGCATAAATTGCACCAAAACAACCCGAAATTGCGTTCAAAATGTATTTTGCGGCATTTTAGGTTGTTTTGAGTAAAAAAAATTTTTTAAAAAATTTCAAGATTTCTCAACTTTCTTGCAGGTCTGGGGTCATGAATTTTTTCAAAAATCACCAACTTCTTTTTTTCAAAAAATCAGAATAAATTTCATTGAAACAATCCGAAATGGCTTTCAGAACGTAACTTCAGGCTTTTTAGGTTGTTTCCAGCAAAAATATTTTTTTCAAAAATTTCAAGATTTCTCATCTTTTTTGCAGGTCCAGGGTAATGAATTTTTTCAAAAATCACAAAGTCCTTATTTTCAAAAAATCAGCATAAATTTCACCGAAAAGGCCCGAAATGGCGTTGAGAACGTATCTTGCGGCTTTTTAGGTTGTTTCGAATTAAAAAAAATTTGTGAAAAATTTTAAAATTTTTCATCCTTTTTGCAGGTCCGGGGTCATGAATCTTTTCAAAAATCACCAACTCCTTATTTTCAAAAAATCAGCATAAATTTCACCGAAACGACCCAAATGGCGTTGAGAACGTATCTTGAGGCTTTTTAGGTTGTTTCGAGTAAAAAAAAATTTTTCAAAAATTTCAATTTTATTTAAACTTTTTTGCAGGTCTGGGGTCATGACTTTTTTCAAAAATCACTAACTCCTTATTTTAAAAAAATCAGCATAAATTGCACCAAAACAACCCGAAATTGCGTTCAAAATGTATTTTGCGGCTTTTTAGGTTGTTTTGAGTAAAAAAAATTTTTTAAAAAATTTCAAGATTTCTCAACTTTTTTGCAGGTCTGGGGTCATGAATTTTTTCAAAAATCACCAACTTCTTTTTTTCAAAAAATCAGAATAAATTTCATTGAAACAATCCGAAATGGCTTTCAGAACGTAACTTCAGGCTTTTTAGGTTGTTTCCAGCAAAAATATTTTTTTCAAAAATTTCAAGATTTCTCATCTTTTTTGCAGGTCCAGGGTAATGAATTTTTTCAAAAATCACAAAGTCCTTATTTTCAAAAAATCACCATAAATTTCACCGAAAAGGCCCGAAATGGCGTTGAGAACGTATCTTGCGGCTTTTTAGGTTGTTTCGAATTAAAAAAAATTTTTGAAAAATTTTAAAATTTTTCAACCTTTTTGCATGAATCTTTTCAAAAATCACCAACTCCTTATTTTCAAAAAATCAGAATAAATTTCACCGAAACGACCCAAAATGGCAATCAGAACGTATCTTGAGGCTTTTGAGGTTGTTTCGAGTAAAAAAAATTTTTTGAAAAATTTCAAGGTTTTTCAACTTTTTTGCAGGTCCGGGGTCATGACTTTTTTCAAAAATCACAAAATCCTTATTTTAAAAAAATCAGCATAAATTTCACCGAAAAGGCCCGAAA